TTTATATATAAAATTGACTAATTGAAAATATATAACAATTGTATTATTATATAAAAGACATTTATTTTGATATAGCTAAATAATGTTTCTTCCAACTAAAAATATTCTTTTGGTAAACTTTGGTAGATGGGCTGCTATAGGCAATCGTTGGCTGCATCTTTCAAATATGCTAAACAAGGTAAGATATGTTTAAATAAAAATCTATTGAGTCCTATAGCGCCTATAACATTATTTTCAGAATGATAAGGAATATCGCATAGAAACAGACACTTTGGGTGAAGTAAAGGTACCACAGGGTAAATACTATGGAGCACAAACAGTAAGAGCTCAGAAGAATTTTCCTATAGGTGGACCAGAAGAACGTTTGCCAGTAAGAAGAAAGCTGCAATAATTTTTAATTTTTATATGTATAACAAAAATCTTTCTCCTTAAGGTTCCTCTTATAAAAGCCATGGGTATTTTGAAAAAAGCAGCGGCTGTAGTAAATGTAGACTATGGAATGGATGCCGAAATAAGTGAAGCCATAGTGGAAGCTTGTGATGAAATAATAGAAGGCTGCCTAATAGAAGAACATTTTCCCGCTATTATTTGGTCCACTATTACTCAAACTAATATGAATTGCAATGAGGTGAGTATAATTTACAAAAAATAAAACTTGTTAAGATAAGAAAATCTTGTCTCAAAGGTAATCAGTAATCGTGCCATTGAGATAATGGGTGGCGAAATTGGTTCCAAAAAACCGGTACATCCTAATGATCATGTAAATAGAGGACAAAGTTCCAATGATACTTTACCCACAGCTGTGAATATATCTATGGCTGTGGAACTAAATAATAGTCTCATACCAGCCATTACGGAGCTGTACGAGGGTTTGAAAGAAAAGGAAAAAGAATTTGCGGATATTATTAAAATAGGACGTACTCATCTGCAAGATGCTGTACCGCTAACATTGGGTCAAGAGTTCAGTGGTTATGCTCAACAAATGAAAAATGGTTTAGATAGGATTGATGCAGTGTTGCCACGTGTCTATGAAGTTTGTTTAGGTGGTACAGCTGTGGGTACCGGTATAGGAGCAAATCAATGTTTTGCTGAAAAATGTGCTGATAAAATAGCCGAATATACTTGTTTGCCCTTTAAAAAGGCCCCTAACTTATTTGAGTGCATAGCTACTAATGATATTATGGTGGAGGTACACGGGTGTTTGAACACCCTTGCTGCAAGTATAATGAAAATAGGAAATGATATACGTTTATTGGGTTCAGGACCACGTTGTGGTTTGTCCGAACTAATGCTGCCACCAAATGAACCTGGAAGCTCTATAATGCCCGGAAAAGTAAATCCCACACAATGTGAGTCTATAACTTCCATATGTACCCAAGTGATGGGAAATCATGTGGCAGTAACCATAGGAGGCTCAAATGGTCATTTAGAGCTGAATGTGTTTAAGACCGTAATGGTGGCAAATGTTTTACGTTCTATACGTCTTTTAGGTAAGTCGGTTAAATAGAAATAATTTTTGTTTATATTAAAGTTGGTGTATTTAATTTAGCCGATGGTTCTAGAAATTTCAATAATAACTGCATTAAGGGTCTTAAAGCAAATAAAAAGAAAATCGAAAAAATGATGAATGAGTCTTTAATGTTGGCAACAGCTCTTAATCCTCATATTGGTTATGACAAGGCAGCTCAGATTGCTAAAACTGCTAATAAAAATGGTACTACACTCAAAGAAGAGGCGGTAAAGTCTGGCTTTGTAACTGAGGAACAATTTAAGAAATGGGTTGTTCCAAAGAATATGACTAGTCCTCAAAAGTAAAATGTTCATCATCATCACCGTTAGGATGTTGTAATTGCATATTTTTGTAGATTGTTTATTTTGTAATAAAGCTATATATATTTACTACTATTTCAAAGGAATCGTCAATACGGAAATATGGAGGCTTACAATTTCTGAAAGTCATTGTCTGTCAACTCTTCCTAGAATTGCTTGCCAACAAAATGGTTTCAGATTCTATCTCATGAAAATCTCGGAAAATATCGAATAATCCACAAGAATAATCTAAAGAGATAAAATGTCACCTCAGGATGCCCAATAACATGGCATGGCAATAGGGGTTTTATGAGGCTTTGGTCAATTACCGAATGCATCAAAGTGACTATTTCTTATATCGAATCATTTTCACATAATACTTTGATTTTAAAATGATTTATTCGGTATTGTCATAAAATCCAATAATTGTCGGAATTTGATTTGTAAGTGGCGAAAAACCTATGATAAGAGGTGTAGTAATTTCCCGCAATTTAAGGTATATCTTGTTGATCTCAGAGATCTAAAGAAAAAGACAGAGCATTTTTATACTCACCATCAAAAAAGATCAGTGGTTTATTGATTTTGTCATTCCGTAACATATCGAAATATTGGTCGTAGACCCACGAAAGTATTATATATTCTTGGACCTTATTAAAGACGTTCTAGCTATGTCCGTCTGTTCTTCTGTATGTTGAAAGCACCATAGAGACCACATGGCAAGAACTACAGTTTTGCTTCGTATTGAAAATGAGCAATATCGATCCATGATTTCAGCTAGCGCCTAAAGGGTCATAAATAAGTTAGTAAGCCAGCAATCGTGCTAAAATTTTGCACAAGCTAGTTTTATGCGCCAATAAATTATATTATGAAGTATGGCCCCATATAAGAACTTCTTCAGAAAATTACTTAAATGCTCATTACTGGATTAATAGAACATTGTTAGTTAACCGACCTATAGCGTAATCAGCAGACTCTTAGAAATCGGAAATAATCCTGCTAGATGTGGAAACGAAAACCTACAAATGTCAAAGTAATATTATTACTGATTTTACCTACGAATTTAGTTTCAAATATAATGAAATATTTATATTTAATTAAATCAATTTCCCCAAAAAATGTTCGCTAAAAGTCATAAAATCGTTTTAAAATATTTTAGATTTCATCCTAATGGAAACCAAAGATCGATTTCCTTAACTAATCTACTGAACATGGTAAGCAATACATATATTCATCGTCTAGAACATAATAAACAATTATGATTTCCAAAGAATAAGGAAAATGTACGTACTGAAACTGACAGCATGGGTGAAGTTAAAGTTCCCGGCGACAAATACTATGGAGCGCAAACAATGAGATCAAAAACTAATTTTCCTATAGGGGGTCCAGAAGAACTCATGCCGGTATAATGTTCTAATAATTGTACATTATCAGGTAATAGGTTTAATGTTTTTATTGAAATATTTTAGAAACCCATAATAGTAGCCATGGGAATTTTAAAGAAAGCTGCTGCTGTTGTTAACCAGGAATTTGGTTTAGATGCTAAAATTAGTGAAGCCATTGCTGAAGCCTGTGATGAGATTATAGATGGTTGTCTAATAGATGAACATTTTCCTTTGGTTATATGGCAAACTGGTTCTGGCACGCAAACCAATATGAATTGCAATGAGGTAAAGTCGTAACCATTTTTTTACTCGAACTACTTCACACTAAATTTACAGGTTATTAGTAATCGTGCCATAGAAATTATGGGTGGTAAAATGGGCTCCAAAACCCCGGTGCATCCAAATGATCATGTCAATAAATCCCAAAGTTCCAATGACACCTTCCCCGCTGCCATACATATATCGGTGGGTATGGAATTAAATAATCGTCTTATACCAGCTATTACCGAGCTACATGAAGGATTGAAGGAAAAAGAGAAAGAATTTGCCGACATTATAAAAATAGGGCGTACCCATCTTATGGATGCAGTGCCACTAACATTAGGTCAGGAATTTAGTGGATATGCACAACAAATGCAATATGCTTTGGATCGCATAAATGCAGTTTTGCCACGTGTGTATGAGATTGCTTTGGGTGGCACAGCTGTGGGAACTGGCCTTAATACCCGAGTGGGTTTTGCAGAAAAATGTGCCAGCAAAATTTCACAATACACGTGCTTACCCTTTACAAAGGCTCCCAATTTTTTTGAGGCATTGGCCAGTCGCGACTGTATGGTAGAGGTCCATGGTTGTTTAAATACTATAGCTGTTAGTTTAATGAAAATCGCCAACGATATACGTTTATTGGGTTCGGGACCACGTTGTGGTTTGGGTGAGTTACTATTACCGGAAAATGAACCTGGTAGTTCTATAATGCCTGGTAAGGTTAATCCTACACAGTGTGAGTCTTTGACTATGATATGTGCTCAGGTTATGGGCAATCAAGTAGCAGTAACTGTTGGTGGTTCCAATGGTCATTTTGAGCTGAATGTTTTTAAGCCACTGGTTGCTTCAAATGTTTTGCGTTCCATAAGATTATTGGGTAGGTTTTCACCCTAAAAGGTTTTTAAAAATTCCTTTATATTTGATTTAATTTCAGCTGATGGTGCTTCAAACTTTAATAAGAATTGTTTGAAGGATCTTAAGGCTAATAAGGAGAGAATTAATAAAATTATGAATGAATCTTTAATGTTGGTTACTGCTCTTAATACTCATATTGGCTATGACAAAGCTGCACATATTGCCAAAACTGCTCATGTAAATGGCACCACACTTAAGGAAGAAGCAATTAAGTCGGGTTTTGTTACAGAGCAGCAATTTAAAGAATGGGTTGATCCGAAAACTATGTTGGGTCCTAAATAAATTTACGTTTTTATTGTATTATGTATTATTTATATCTTTAAATTTATTCGTTATTTCGTTGCTTAATTTATTACATAAAATAAAAATTTATTTCTTGCCATAAAAGCTTCATAAGAAATGAAATGTTTTATCAAATTTACGCAGAGTTCGATATTTAATAGTTCTGGGCCCCCATATAGGAATTTATCCCTGAAACATTAGTGTGATGTAACAGAATAAGGATATAAGGGGGATATCCATTTCCTTTATAAATATGTTCTCGTTATAAGAGCACCTCTACTATATGTATTTCTTTATAAAATCCATTTTGGTTTTTTCGATTTTTTTACCTTTTTACTCCATACCCCATACTCTCATAACACTTTACTACTGTAAAATTTATAAACTTAAAAGAAAACTTAACTGAATTTCAAATTAATACAAACATTTTTGTTAAAATCCATGTAAAATCTTTTGCAAAACTTTTCATCATTTGTATCTTACATAAATAAGCTTGTTAACAAGAGTTTTACATACCAACAATACGAAAACGAGTACATGGTCATAAGCATACATGTTCTGGCATAAATTGTGTTGTTTATAAACTATGAGAAGTGATGGTATACTTGTAAATATGCACACATACACACATTCAAAAATACACATAAAGATATGTTAGTAGTTGTGAATGAATGTACTTTTCAAATGCGTATGCAACAAAAACAAATGGAACAAAAAATTTTTGTTAAATGTTTGTAAAACTTTTATCAGGAATTTATACGTAGATTAACATGCCTGGTAACTAAAACTCAATGTATTTGTTTGTCGATATAACTAACAAGCTAACGAGAATAGTAAAAATCTTTATCAGTAAAAATAAAACATCAACACCATGATCAACAACAACATTGTCATCATCCTTGGTAACTTTGCAACAGCTGTATTGTTTTTCGATTTCTTTTAAAGCTTCTTAAATAATTCGTTATTTCTTTGTATTTTAGCAATTGTTTGTTAGTTTTGGATTTATTAACCTGTTATGTGAAATATGTACATACATGTACTACAGAATTTGTTGCAATTTGAATCTGTTGTAATTTTTGAGTGTAATAAAAAAATATTCCTGTGATGATCATGAATTAATACACATGCATATATACATACATGTATGTTTGTATATCTTTCGATATTAATTCTAAGTAAGTAGCTAACCCTTAATTAATTTTCAACTTTTAGTTTGTTTTTATACCTACCATCAAAAAAGATGGGGGTATAATGATTTTGTCATTCCGTTTGAAACACATCGAAATATTGGTCATAGACCCATAAAAGTATATATATTCTGGGTCCTTATTAAATTCTAAGACGATCTAGCCATGTCCGTCCGTCTGTCTGTTGAAATCACGATAGGGACCAAACGGGAGGATAGCGATGGAATTCTGCATAAGTAAGTTTCTTACGGACCAAAACCCCCCATATAAGGTCCCCTTCAGAAAGTGACTTTACGGACCAAAACCTCTCTACCAACTTTTTTTAGGATCGGCCCATAAATGACCAAAATGACTTTAACGCTCATTAATGACTTAAAAATATGAATATAGTGACGAAATTCGACACCCATAAATTTTATGCAAGCCAAAATCTCTCAATCAAATTTAGTGAGGATCGGTCCATAATATGATATGAAATTCGACATAAGAAACTTTTATACGAGTGTTAATCATGCTGCCGAATTTCATCCGGAATGTGGCGGTAATTAACCCTACCGCGCATACATATAAGCCCCTTTAGAAAATTGTATTAACGCTACTTACTGGCGTAAAAATGCGAGTACATCGATGATATTCAATGTAAACAAGTTGTATATGAACAAAAATCGGTTTACAAAAAGTAACGAAATATCGATTTTTGAAGGAAAATATGAGTGATCACAAAATAAGCTTATATTTCCATTTAAACGTGTTTTAACGAAGTTAAAAGCGATTTTAGTTTTCTTAACATTTTTGCTAAAAAAATCGATTTTTGAAGGAAAATATAAGTGATCACAAAATAACCTTAAACGTGTTTTAACGAAGTTATAATCGATTTTAGTTTTCTTAAGTTTTTTGACCAAAATATCGATTTTTGAAGGAAAATTAGAGTGATCACAAAATAAGCTTTTCTATTTAAACGTGTTCTAACAAAGTTATAAGCGATTATAGTTTTCTTAATTTTTTTGATTAAAAAATCGACTTTTAAATAAAAACATTAGTGATCACAAAATAAGCTTATTTTTCCATTTAAACATGTTTTAACGAAGTTATAAGCGATTTTAGTTTTCGTAAGTTTTTTCACCAAAAGATCGACTTTTAAAGAAAAACATGAGTAATCACAAAATAAGCTTATTTTTCCATTTAAACGTGTTTTAAATAAGTTGTAAGCGATTTTAGTTTTCTTAAGTTTTTTCACCAAAAAATCGATTTTTGAAGGAAAATATGAGTGATCACAAAATTAGCTTATTTTTCCATTTAAACGTGTTTTAACGAAGTTATAAGCGATTTTAGTTGTCTCAAGTTGTTTGACCAAAAAATCGATTTTTGAAGGAAAATATGAGTGATCACAAAATTAGCTTATTTTTCCATTTAAACGTGTTTTAAATAAGTTATAAGCGATTTTAGTTTTCTTAAGTTTTTTCACCAAAAATCGATTTTTAAAAGAAAATATGAGTGATCACAAAATTAGCTTATTTTTCCATTTAAACGTGTTTTAACGAAGTTATAAGCGATTTTAGTTGTCTCAAGTTTTTTGACCAAAAAATCGATTTTTGAAGGAAAATATGAGTGATCACAAAATTAGCTTATTTTTCTAATTAAACGTGTTTTAACGAGGTTATAAGCGATTTTAGTTTTCTTAAGTTTTTTCACCAAAATTCGATTTTTGAAGGAAAATATGAGTGATCACAAAATAAGCTTATTTTTCCATTTAAACGTGTTTTAACGAAAGTGATTTTAGTTCTCTTAAGTTTTTTGACCAAAAAATCGATTTTTGAAGGAAAATATGAGTGATCACAAAATAAGCTTATTTTTCCATTTAAAGGTGTTTTAACGAAGTTATAAGCGATTTTAGTTTTCTTAAGTTTTTTCACCAAAAAGTCGATTTTTGAAGGAAAATATGAGTGATCACAAAATTAGCTTATTTTTTCAATTAAACGTGTTTTAACGAAGTTATAAGCGATTTTAGTTTTCTTAAGTTTTTTGACCAAAAAATCGATTTTTGAAGGAAAATATGAGTGATCACAAAATTAGCTTATTTTTCCATTTAAACGTGTTTTAACGAAGTTATAAGCGATTTTAGTTGTCTCAAGTTTTTTGACCAAAAAATCGATTTTTGAAGGAAAATATGAGTGATCACAAAATTAGCTTATTTTTCCATTTAAACGTGTTTTAACGAAGTTATAAGCGATTTTAGTTTTCTTAAGTTTTTTGACAAAAAATCGATTTTTGAAGGAAAATATGAGTGATCACAAAATTAGTTTATTTTTCCATTTAAACGTGTTTTAAATAAGTTATAAGCGATTTTAGTTTTCTTAAGTTTTTTCACCAAAAATTCGATTTTTGAAGGAAAATATGAGTGATCACAAAATTAGCTTATTTTTCCAATTCAGCGTGTTTTAACGAAGTTATTAGTGATTTTAGTTTTCTTAAGTTTTTTCACCAAAAATTCGATTTTTGAAGGAAAATATGAGTGATCACAAAATTAGCTTATTTTTCCAATTAAACGTGTTTTAACGAAGTTATAAGCGATTTTAGTTTTCTTAAGTTTTTTCACCAAAAAATCGATTTTTGAAGGAAAATATGAGTGATCACAAAATTAGCTTATTTTTCCAATTAAACGTGTTTTAACGAAGTTATAAGCGATTTTAGTTTTCTTAAGTTTTTGATTAAAAAAATCGACTTTTAAAGAAAAACATGAGTGAACACAAAATAAGCTTATTTTTCCATTTAAACGTGTTTTAACGAAGTCGATTTTAGTTTTCTTAATTTTGTTCACCAAAAGTCGATTTTTGAAGGAAAATATGAGTGATCACAAAATTAGCTTATTTTTCCATTTAAACGTGTTTTAACGAAGTTATAAGCGATTTTAGTTTTCTTAAGTTTTTTCATTAAAAAATTGACTTTTAAAGAAAAACATGGGTGATCACAAAATAAGCTTATTTTTCCATTTAAACGTGTTTTAACGAAGTTATAAGCGATTTTAGTTTTCTTAAGTTTTTTCACCAAAAAATCGATTTTTGAAGGAAAATATGAGTGATCACAAAATTATCTTATTTTTCCATTTAAACGTGTTTTAACGAAGTTATAAGCCGTTTTAGTTTTCTAAGGTTATTTGATTAAAGAATCGTCTTTTAAAGAAAACATGAGTGATCACAAGATAAGCTTATTTTTTCAGTTTTAACGAAATTATAAGCGATTTTAGTTTTCCTAAGATTTTTTGCCAAAAAATATCGATTTTTAAAAGAAAATATGAGTGATCACAAAATAAGCTTATTTTTCCAATTAAACGTGTTTTAACAAAGTTAGAAGCGATTTTAGTTTTCTTAATTTTTTCACCAAAAAATCGATTTTTGAAGGAAAATATGAGTGATCACAAAATTAGCTTATTTTTCCAATTAAACGTGTTTTAACGAAGTTATAAGCGATTTTAGTTTTCTTAAGTTTTTTGATTAAAAAAATCGACTTTTAAAGAAAAACATGAGTGAACACAAAATAAGCTTATTTTTCCATTTAAACGTGTTTTAACGAAGTCGATTTTAGTTTTCTTAATCTTAATAAGAATCGTCTTTTAAAGAAAACATGAGTGATCACAAGATAAGCTTATTTTTTCATTTAAACGAGTTTTAACGAAATTATAAGCGATTTTAGTTTTCCTAAGATTTTTGCCCAAAAAATATCGATTTTTAAAAGAAAATATGAGTGATCACAAAATAAGCTTATTTTTCCAATTAAACGTGTTTTAACAAAGTTAGAAGCGATTTTAGTTGTCTTAATTTTTTCACCAAAAAGTCGATTTTTGAAGGAAAATATGAGTGATCACAAAATTAGCTTATTTTTCCATTTAAA